ACAGTATTTACTATTTTAACGGTTTACAAGATCGGGTGATATGCAATTGTTATGTTTATTTTATTTTAACTACGGCCCGACGTTGCGGCTGCTTAGCAGCAGCCTTGATCACTAGATTAAAAGTGTTTTATTTAAACGAATAACTACAGGCAGTACGCAGCAGCTCAGTTAGTAAATGTGGATTTCTGAAGTGAAAACTTTTTAACTGACTAGAGTTCTTTTTATGAAAGATGGAGGAAATAGATCTTTTTATTGTGGTAAAAAATATTAAACTTACTAGAAACGAGGAGAGAGTAGACAAAATTTTTATGTCTATATACGATAGCGCAGTAAGTGAATACTGTACCATTAAAAAACAATTTATGTACAATTATTTCCTAAATATTATTTGAATAATATCAAAAAGGCACAACATTAATATTGACATTTTTATTTTCGGTAATAGAAGTAAATTTGCAATAACATGAAGAATAATAATGTCCTCACAGGTTCAGTACATGTCAACTTCACAATAAGCTAATGTTTCTCATGGATAATCTACAACATTACTTGCAAGCGGACGTCCTAGAAACAAATTTCTCTCGGCTAATGGAAGCTGTGAATAAAACCAATGACTTCGAGAAACTGAAGAAGGCCCACGCGAACTTCCTAGCCGATGTACTGAGTCAATCGTTCTTGACTGTTATGGTAAGGTTCTAATTGTGTTTTGTTTAATCTAGCTAGAACATACAGTGTGAGGTGTAAGATTCAAATGTCGATAAAAGTGTATTTCTTTAACGGTTCACTTGGTGGTAGGTAAAATATCCAGCCATATAACATCTAAAATACACTCCCTCGGCCTATTTTAGCATTGGATTTTGGGAAATTCACAGACTGTAGCCGGAACGCGATTAAACTTCAGGGCTCTCCACCTGTGGACGGTGGTTTGAGATCCAGATTCCTAGACGTGACATGTTTTAAAAAAAAATGTTTAAAACGATTTTGGGTAGGGAACGAAAACATTGCTATTATCAAACCATTGTGTGCCTGTCAATTTTATGGGTATTCGTATAAACGTTGAAACTATCTTTGACAACTGACAAATGTTCATAAATAAAATAGTTATACACACGATATTCCTGCGGTCAAGTACCCGATTTTTAATTACTTGATGGGGTTTTAGTATGAATTTGACGCGCTGTGTTTCATAGCGGCGAACAGACCTGGGTAGATGACGCAGTAATGAGGAAGAGCGAGTCAATGTGAGTGTAACGATTCGGAATGTCTTCGACTACTTCTACCAATGTTGTTGCCCAAAAACTTGAAGTCTCGCAGTGGAGAGCCACTGCCAGTCTCTACCCTATGCGCCGGCACATGCAATCGAAGAAGAAGATTCTGAGAGTAGATTAGATTTTTTGCAGGACAGAGGAGCCAAGATTTGATGAAGACGGGATTACAAATTACCACAATGTTCACATTTGGGCTTTGAAAGCTCAAGCTGTGTCGACTTTTAAATCTAAATAGTTGACTTCATGTGTCATTATTGGAATTTATTTTATATTTCAGCCCGAAGACGGCGAAAGTGCATCGGACACCATAGACTGCATAAACAATCCGGTGTTGAACAATATAGTTGAGTTACTGCGTCTGGGCCACTCGTTTTGCAGACTCAGCGAATATACCAGTGACGCGGACGACGAAGATTATTATATTAGAGGATACTCTGAAAGGTAAAATTCCCTTATAAAATTAGTTTTAATCCGAGTATTTTCTATACTAAGGGTCGTTCAAGTTGACGTTCTTCTTATGTCAGAAAAAGTAAGTTAACTCTAGTAGCAAGTTCTGGGGGACCTGATATATAGGTGCGCTGGTAATCTATTTTTGGCATTGGCAATTAAAATGTACAGGCTGGAACCGACACGTATCTGTAAATAAGGTATCTTTTTATTTTCTTTTACTTGTCTTTCTGATATGAAATATGCCAACTATATAACAATAAGATACTTATTGTAAGAGTATATATGATTTTTAAGCTCTTAAAAAATATAGTTTAAAATATCTTAAGCCTATTCGTTTATTTCTATAATCTTATAATTACAGGTTCAACAAGTTGGTGAAACAGCTGATGCAGCTCCTGGTTTCGCTCCGAGAGCGGCCTTGTGGGGTCTACCTGGCGCGACTCCTTATGCGCTTGGATTACAACCGATGGCTGAGCGCGGAGGCTCAACTAACACAATCCGTTACAAATATGCTGCGATACTAGCAATGTCTTAAAATCAGGATTTTTCTATTATAGTATTAGTTAGTATGCGGTACTAATCTTGATCGTTCTAAACCGTTAAAAGTATTTTTTTTTTACAAAAAAAATATAATCATTGCTAAAGTCTGTTGTTTTTTATCGTAAACGTCGAGAATAAAAAACTAGATGTTTTTCTTTCGACATTTAATTTAGAAATGGTCGTTAAAAGTTGACATAAGAATGTGTTTATAAACAATTACACCCGATATAAAAGCACAGGCAATGCTGCTTTGACAACATTTGCCCGCTCATGAAGGAGTCCTTTTATTGCGCCGCAACATTTGTGTTTTATTGTATAAGTAAAAAATTCAACTTTAAGCGTTTCATCTCTTTGGGAGACGGTTAGAGCATAAAATTTAAATATTTATTCATCATCAATCGGCTCTTCCTCTAAAACACTATCATTCACAATTTGCCTTTGGTCCATCGCATGTTTAACTTGCTGTTTCATAACGGCATTGATCAGTATACATTTGGTCATGTCGCAGCAGCAAGGCACAGGATGTTCAATTTCTTCTGGATCGAGAAGTGTTAATTGCAAGTTGTACCTGAAATATTTGGTATTTGAAATAATAAGAAATATCTGTACAAGTGGAGTTAGTCGTGCATGAGTGTAATGTCTCGAGGCTTGGAAAATCTGTGGTGGCCTGAGGTGGCGTGGAGTTTTGGCGGTTTTTGTGCTAGACTATCTTATAGGCATATTTTGATCTTCTCTCCTTATTTATACCAATAGTATTAATTTTATAAGCTTTTGCAATATTTTGTAAAGCATGATGGTCTTCAGCTGGTATATCATTCAGCTCGGAACTCTAAACATTCTGATGATCTGATTAATGTAGATAACTTTATATAAAGATTAGTCTAAATCTCAATTGGTAAGACCGACAGCATAGAATTTTTTGTAGCTAGTTTGAGTCTTGCCGATGTTAGTGATTGTTTCAACCGAAATATGTAGTATTAAATGCACTTAATTTTACCTCCTAGAGTTCTTTCCGTCTCTATTCATATCTAATTTAAATGCTATTGGTTCCTTTTCTTCTACTCTTTGTTCGTCAGGCAACAATATTACTGTTTGTTTCCAATGCGTTGGTTCAGCAATTGGTCCTGTGTTTAGAATCACTCGCTCTTCACTTGAAAGTTCGGGAAATATACATTCAAACCAAATACATATTCCTTGGTATCTACCATTTTTGTTTGCACCTACAGCAGTCAAAGAAAATTAAAAATTATCTTTGTATTTTCAATGTTTCTATCCAGTTAAGGTTTTTAATGCCTTGGTGCAATGAGGATACATTTGGGTTTAGCAACAGCATTTTACCCAAACTATTTATATGAAATCCGATATCCATGAAACATACCAACCACATGTTGAACACAGTAGGAATCCAATTCTTCAACTGTACAATCCCTTAAATTAATCCAGTTTAAAGCAACTTCTTCACCTAACAAATCCACACTTCTTATTTGCATAATCTCAGGTTTGTGGCTTTTGTCTGACCGTAAATGCTTTGAAAATGTTGACATTGTCACTCCGTGGAATTCCTCCCATTTTTCATATAAGTTTGGAACACTGAAAATTAAAAAAATATCCTATTGTTTTTACTGTTCACTTGAAAGTTTTGAGAGAATCCTATAAATATTATTGGAATAGCTATTTCCCGAGCAAATGTTACCATTATTTTTGTCTGTATATAGATATTAAATTCCAAAGTACATTACTTAGTAGTCTTACCTACATGGAGCAACATATATAACAGCATTTTGTGGGAACATCTCACCATCTTCTTTCAAGAACTTATCCCGAGCGAAAACTACAGAATCAAGCATACCTTCATGTAGAAGGTAAAAGCCCATCCACTCAGATACAATGGCATCTACTTTAATATTACTTGGCAAAAGAACATCTTCAACTTTACTGTGAATAACCTGGAATACAGAATGACACATACATTAATAACATTATAAAATGAAATGGTGAAATTATTTTGACTACAATGTCAGACTCTGTAAAAGTCCTAACTTTAATATGAAAAATACCTCTATAATGTTTTCATATTTGTTCTCCTTGATTATTTCCTTTGCTAAATTTGCAAGATTACTTGCTTCCACTGCATATACTTTCTTAGCTCCAGCTTGAGCACAAAATATAGACAGAATACCGGTACCACAACCGACGTCCATAACGACTTTATCTTTAAAATATTCCTTGTTGTTTAAAATTGCTTTGCGGTAAGTGGATGTTCTAGGTTCATCTTCCAACATCAATCTGTGTATCTTTTAAAGTACAAATATTTCAAAAACTTGAAAAATCTGTAAAGAATTTATTAATTTAATAACTGTTATAAAACTATTAACTAACCTCTAAGTCTTCGTAACTAGAAAAATAGTTATCTGGAATTGGAAGATTGGGCTCCATTTGAAACACTTTAATAATATTTTTCACTTTATGTATTAGTAGTTATATTTTCTTAAGGTTAATACAAAATTCTGGTAAGTTTGTTTACAATTATGGATCGCAACTTCGCAAATAGGTTATATTTTTGACAAGTAATAATTTTGACAATTTACTATAGGTAATTTTACGCCTCGATTCTCGAAAAATTAATACCCTTACATGCATTTGCGTCAAAACGTAATATAATTTTTTCAAAGGATAATGGTTTGATTCGTGTATTTTTGGTTCTACATTATTTTGTATCCTAAGTGTACTGAATAAATATGTATTGGGCCATTGTTGATTGTTTATACATTGGGAATACGATGTTTAAACTCGTTTATTTTGTTCGCTCGTGCGAGAGTTTTCGCTATCTGTCAATTACAAAATATCTGTGAGTATTTGTTAAAGAAAAGTTAAGACGTATTATATATGAAAACTAATATTTTTCTCATGTTATTGAACATGATGGCATTATATAAATTAAAATCGGCCATAAGACATTTTATGATACGAGCGGAACTTTAACCGGTATTCACAGCGTACCGTACTGTTGCTCGAACCAATGACGGATGTCAGATTTTTAAGTCTAAAAGCGATATAAATATACATATAAAGATTGTTTTACATATATAATTAGTTCCTTTGACTTTATAGTCAAGGTATCAAAGGGAAGCTAAGGTAAGCTGGCGCGGGGCGAGTAAACGTCATGTGCTCTAGCGCGTTGATTGGTCCCCCAGTCGTGTCGTCTGTTTCCCTACTTTGTTTTATATTGTCAATTCATTTATGCTGGTGTAGAAACACCAGAAGTATATTATATTTATTTATTTTTCTTATATATTCGTAAAGTATATATTTTACATAGAGAGGGGATCAATTATAAGAAAAATAAAACGACTTCACTAGACCATTTTATTAAATTAGAATAAAAAAAACGAATAATGACAATAATTATGTGCGTTCATAAGACGTGATCAAAATAAAGCTGCTGATACAAGTCCATGAAATAATAAATGGTACGGCTTCTTTATGGACATTAATTAAGTACAACTATAATGAAACAACATAATTATATTAAAAAATAAAATTAAATAAAGAATTTAGCTGTCCTATAAAATTGTATAACGCTAAAAAGATCTATAAATGCAAAAATCCTAAATGAGTATACGGTCGAAAAAAATACATCCACAGAAAAATTGTTATAGCTCATTTCGTTCATAATCTCTATAGTTACATTTGTTAACCTTACTCCTATGGTAATTAGACAAGTACAAAATGATGTTTTACTCTTAAAAATATATATTCGTAACCTAAAACTACGGTCAGTTGTATATTTCATGACTTAAACAGTAAAACCATCCGTTAAACATGCAACCAGCAAACATTTTCAAAATCGATGCATCTGTGTATCATTCAAAATATTCAATAGTATGTTCAAATCTAGCCGAATTTCGTATCATTTCAGTGTCTATATACACTAACATACAATACATCCACCTATTTTTTACAAACACATATTTCGCAGTGTTGGAAGAACTATGCTAAAGGCTAAAACGTTACATTTTCGATATGTTGGATTTTAATTAGTTTTACAATATGTTTGCACAATGGCACAAATTTAGCCAACATTATAATAGTGTCGTGGGCGAATGAAAAGCATCGCCCGATTTCGTCGTGTAATCTAAGCCTATATACGTCACCTACAATAACAACCCACTAGTTTAATATTGTGAAGTCTTCAATTTTTATATTAATACAACGCCGGGAACATCTTATATCTCACGTGTCACTATTCCCTAACGAGAAATTCGTAGCCACATAAAATTGTGCACAATTCCTTTACGTCCGCATTGAGGTTCGTTAACGGTCTACTTAATATTTAATTTTCGATATAAATGCAATTTTATTTCATGTAAATGCTAAATACCGAATTATGCCGAAATAAATAATGTAGAGCTGCACAATGTTGTATCGACTAGTTTTCTTACGAAACAAAGAGAAATTATTAACCGTTAATAGAATTCGCTCGAACGAGTTGAAACGCTTTGTGTTTTTTATTATAGATGACAGACAAACAAGGGGACATAACAGCTAAACAAAATGCACTGTAGACCTCTTTTGGCTTGGATATTTAATTGAATAAATGGATTTAGCGATGGCGTATTGAGGTGCTCTTATCGCCAATATAACCGACGAAGAAACAGATGGCGATGATAATACGTAAAAGTGCTGAGTACAGTTAAAACTTGTTTCAACTCGTTTGAACCAGTTCTAATTGATGTGTTTTGGCGTAAACTACAGATATAAAATTATTTGTCATCCCGCTATTTTTACGGGTATTACCTATTCTAGCTGCTCAAGGTCTTAAGGGGGCACGTATGGTGGTGGTTTTCTGTATGTTGGTGTCGCTTTGGGCCTTGGGGGTGTTCGGGAAGCCGCGAAGGGGGGCGGAGGCCTGTAAGGCGCGTCCTCCCCGTTCCTGTACTCTGGTGCGGGTGGCAATAACGGTGGCTTTTCCTCGCGCATGATAACTGGGCTCTTATCGACGGGTTCAGTGTCAGTTCTCTCTTCCAACTCGTCTTGGAAGATGACTGGGATACCTTTTGACCGGAACGCTTGGCGCTCTTCCTCGTCGCCAACGCTCATTTTTCCTGGAATACATTAAATTCAATCAAATGTTTTTTTTTACAAATATAGCTGAAAACTCTTACATATTATGGTGATACAATTTACTAGCTGTTTTTCATTTTATTTAAGACAAACTGGCAAGAAACTTCGTTTATATATGAGTTTAATTTTTCAGATTTAAACGGCGACCATTACCCCAAGTCCCACGTTACGAAGTAAAGTAAAGCACACGTAAATCACTTAGTAGGTTGCATGGCAAAATATAAGCACATACATTTATAGTTTTTCTATTGTATTTTTAAGGTCCTCGCGACCATATTACAAAGCTTGGTTTTTCGAACTGTACGGTCGTCGGAAGAGAAATGGTTTTCGACGTTTTGTTATCACCAGTAGCATCAGGAGTCACTGTTACTGATAGATTATGACAAATTCGTAATGACGAAAGGTCTAGAACCATTTCTCAATTACTACAATAGCTCAGATTTCAACTTGTTCTTTTCCCTGATAACATCGAATGAATTTAATTGTAAGATGCCTAAAGGTTTATCAAGCTTAAGCTTATATTAAATTCGTTGCATAGCAGTCTATAGTGCAGAAACATTTGTGCTATAAAAACTAAATATCACCTTTTTCGTGTCAAGACTTCGCATGACCTGATGAGAATTAACATTCAAATTTAATTCATATAATTATGTAGTAAAGTTATTTCCCGACATGGCTTAAAATTCGTGTTTACCCATGTATGCACATACGCAGTTTAATAAGAATATTATATCTTACTACATATAATGAGTTTAAATATTTCCTTACCAGTTCGCCGTCTCCGATACAGGACGCAGGCAATGATTCCAGCCAAGAGAATCATACAAACAATGACCACAGCCGGTATAACAAAGGTGACCAGATAGTCCGAATACTCTGGGCTGGCGTTTGGTGTCTTGCTATTCATGTTTCCGCTGTGCGACGGGACCATTGCCTTCGGCGTCTTCGTGTTTTGTTCCGCGCAGAGCCCAAGCGGGATCAGCCTTATGGACATCACTTTGAGGTCCTTATCGAAGATTTGGTCCACCTTCTCTTTCAAGTTGCCGCCCATGGCACCTCTTTCGTCCACGATTATGGAGTTGCGCAGTTCTTCGATCTCTCTTTTCGGACATCTGTCCATTGGTAGACTCGTGTTGTACCTGAATGAAGGAATGTGTTTTAAGTTTTTTTTAATCTTAAAGAACATCGGATGGTATAATACCCCAGCCATATAACATTTAAACTAGCTGTCGATATATTTGGCTTTGAATATTCAGAAATACACAAACAGAAACCGAAAGCCGATTTAAACTTCACGGATTTTCGCCTGTGGACGGTTGCTCGAGACTCAGGCGGAATACCAATATTCCTACCACCCACATATCCAACAATATCCAATATGTTTCAGAAAAAATATAAATTGATTGGTGGTGGGGATGAAACGGTTATTAGCTATACAGTGCTACTACTACTCCCACGAGCCAGTTCGTAAATAACCATTAATTTATCAAAACTACACATGTAAATAAAACACCTTTAACAGTTTAAAACGCGAAATATAAGTATTAATTAAGCTATTTACAATTTATATTTGTCTCCCGTGACCATTGTTAGTGCAAGCAACGTATGTAGGTAACTAATACATTTAAACCGTTAAAAAACATAGATATTAAAACTAAATTAATAAATACCTCGTCGACCTCTTTGGCTCTAAAGCCAAATGCCTAATGAAACATGAATGTCTAAACATTGATTAGTTAAAAATTGTTACTAAAATACATTGCGCTTTAAACCGTTAGTGTCTTATTTAAATGAAGCAGATTACTACCAGAACAAAATCTACTTACCATATGATAGTAGGAGGGTTGTCGGAGATACTCTGTATTCTTATATTCTCAGTCTCCTTCTGGTCGAACAGCGCAGCCAGCTTTTCCACTATCTTCCTCTTATTGCCAGCAGTCTGCATCAGATTTGGCGAAGGGTCCATGGTCATTTGGAATTCGACGGTCGGGCGAATTGTCGGAGCCTTCGCCACTTCAACTATGAGACTGTCGTATGCACTCTTCTTGCTGGAGTCTTCCGCAATCTGGACATTAAAATTTGTGATTATGTCACGATAAAAATACTAACGCCATCTAGTGAGAAAATACTGAAACTGTATTGTTTATTGGCAGTATAATAAATTAAAACAGACTTTTAATACATGTTTATTCGTATGTTAGAATATAACAGTTTAAGTCGCACAGGGCACAGAAATCTGATCATCTGCCCCGTTCCCCATATTCGGAGGAAATAAGTTAGTTGTTTATAAATTCAAAGCATTTTCATTAAATCTAATACCAACAAGATGTCTGTAGCTGAATGGTTAAACGTAGAGGGGTTCTGGATTCGAACGGGGAAACAATATTTGTTTGTTTCGGTCGGGAAGGGCACAGAGGTCTGATCAACTTACGGGTAATGGTAACGCGATTTTATGTTTTAATAACAGCTTTAGTTTTTACGAGGCTACTAAGGTATATATCTTATTATTTAAAAAAAAGTACAAATTTCGATTACCAATTGATAATGCACACTGCCCTGGTCGTTGGTGGAGGGTAGACCATAAAACTCTTGGTTATTGGCATCGAACTGCAACCAGTGGTTGGTTGGTATTTCGGAACGATCGCTGAACCGTAGCGACAGATGCAGATTACGAGTACCACCGTCTTCTGGATCGAAGAATGTATCCTGTAAATCGAAAGCCACAAATAACTATCTTCATGGGACAAGCATGGGTTCAATAATGGTATACAGCAGTCATTAAACATTTTCACAGAACGATGTCGAGCTTTTTTGGTTCCGAAACGACGAGACTTTTCATTTGCGGGTTTTGATGGTAGGTGAAATACCCCAGCCTATAGCATCTAGACAAGATGCGCTACCGACCTATTTTGCTTTTAATATTCGGAAATCCACAGACTATAAGCCAAAACCGATTAAACTTCACGGCTTTTTCATCGACCAACGGTTCGTGACCCGGACGAAATTTCGATGCCCATTTCATATAAAACAATAAAAAATAGGTCCATACCTCCGGAACTTTATAGACTAGCAAGTGTCCCACGGTGGCAGTTAGGTGGTCGACCTGGTTCCTCGTGACGGGAGGGTAGGTGTCCGGAGGCCGAGTTGCCGGGGCCACAGCGCACCGACCGAGACCACGCCAGCTGACTGCACTGACTTTCAACTCTGGTGACATAGCACGGGCCAAACCGGCCGATGGACCACCAGGTTCAGAGTCGGATTCAAGGATCTGAAACAGTTTAAATGTCTTCTATTAAAACAATTCAATACACACCACAAGAAATATCCATTCGCCGAGGGCATTAGTTGCACATGCTTCTGTAAGTTTTATCCACAAGCTATTTTATTATTTGATTATACTTCTGTGCCCTGCCCGATCGAAACTATTTCATCGGTATCGCGGATATTCAACTCTGGACCAGCTGTGCGGATGGAGTTATATTAAGTTTATTAATATTATTTTCTACTGGTTACACATAAACACATACTATTTCAGACATTTCCAAGATAACTTTATAATATTTATATTAATAGGGAATGTTTTTTTCAAACATTATTCACGTATCTTGAACCGTAATCGTACCATCTAACCAACACAAAAATAATTTTTCAATTCGAACCAGTGGTTCCCGAGATCAGCACATTCACACAAAAAATTTATTTACCTTTGTAATATTAGAATGATAGGACATAGAATAAGATATGTATTTTCTTACCTTCATAAGTCGATTAATATCGTCCATTGGACACGCCATATCTTTTGGCAGCGTATCGTTTGTCCATACGAACTCACAGGTATCGCCAATCAAAGTCGCATTCAATACCGTAAGATGGTCCATATCGGTATCCCGGAATAGGTTGACGATCCCTTCCAAGGCGCGGATCTGCCAGTCTATCGTGTTGGTGTAGTGCTTCATCAGTTTGAAGTGCATGGTGAAGTGGTGGTTGACGGTGCGGGCGCTCTTGTGTTGCTGCACGGTGATGTCCAGCGGACCGCGCGCTACAAGGCCTTCGCTGTCACGGGCTTCTACTATGAAGTTCCAGCGGGACACGTGAGCCTCGAGCGGTCTGGAATAAAAACAAATATTTATAAGATTCGGGCATAACCATTGTCAGCCATCTTATATAACATCATTCATTGTGACAAAGTAATTAATCCCTTTAATTGGCTTGGTGACGTGTCACTAGATATAGTGGTCCGCACACCTAGACGATTCCGTCCGGTTAGTATTTCAGGCATTTGTTTGCGCGCTAGCGCTCGCTCTGTTTGCGGCTAGACCAAGGGTGCCCCAAGGGGGGCGTGGACCGCCAACCTCGGCTTGTACCGCCGTAAGGCAGGTGGGAGCTTGAAGAGCTGGACGGAAGCTCACCCGGGCAAGCGGTACGCGGATCAAACGACCTGGCCTTCCCCGGCGAAGGCGGTTACCTCGCGATACAACGGAGCCGGACTTTTTTATACCGGACTCGAACAATACGGAATGACGTAATGGGTCGTTTTCTTTTATTTTGAATTTGATAAACCTAATATAAGAAAAAAGCTTTATCTGAAAACACTTACAATCCATACACTTCCCTCTCGCTGGGAATGAATTGTATCCATGAGTTCTGGCTGAGCGGGACATTTTCAGCTTCGTACATTGTGAATGTGAGATTGCTGCCTTCTTCGGGATCCGTGAATAGGTCCGCGGGGATTATATATCTGGAGTATTTAATTTACATTTGATTAATGACTAGAAAACGTTTTATTTCGTCAAAATCAATAGAATTGAAGACAATATTATGTATTATAACAGTTCCAAATCTAATAAAAATAATAGCTGCACAAAAAAAAACAAATTTAATAATTATCTTACACAAATCATATTATAAGGCTTAAAATTTCAACAATGTCAACTCCAGAAACAGGAGCCACTCAGCATTTCTTATTTATTTAATTTCGTTACGAATACGCTTGTGTTCAGGCACACGTACTGAAAATCATCGTGAACATGCACTGAAAATCAGTGTTGCATACTGATATCTAGTTGTAGCGTAACAACTAAGAGATACACGTAAAAACTAGTACACTTTATACTAAAATAACAACGTATGCGATGAACAATCGTATTCTTCAACAAACACACGTCTAACGTGACTTAATATTGAATTTAATTACAAACAATGAGAAATATTGTAAAACTATCAATTACTCAACATATAATCATAATACACAAGACATAAAAATCTACTCGTAATTAAAACCCTTTTAGCTGACAGACAAACACAGCTCTATGGCCACAGAATAAATAAAATTTCACACACACGGCAACAGATAGACCTCGAATTTATCACAGATATATTAACAATAGTCACCTGAAGGCCTTTCCAGCGGTGATAGCCAGTTTCTTCATATGGTGCTTCAGTGTTGGCGGCTGATTGATAGGCATCGCGAAAGTCACTGTCTCCGTGGTACGCCCTATTATTGTACTCGTACGCTCCGATGACGTCATAGTCTCCTGGTACGAAATTAATAATCATTTTCTTATCTAAATAAAACACTTTAACGGTTTAAAACGCGGAAATTATTAGTTACGTAATTTAAAATTATTTTAACTACGCCTCGACGTCTCCCCGCGACCACGGCTGCTTGCAGAGCATTCGAAACGTCGGGCCGTAGTTATAATAATTATTTAAAGTTTAACAAAAAAATATTTCGTGTTTGAAACCGTTAAAGTGTTTTATTTACATGTGTTCTGCTCGCATAAACTACAGGCAGTATTTTCATACATTTTTAGGAATTATAATTAACTTACTATAGAATCCTACTAGTTTTACAAAATTGTTATTTTCTATATTCATTATTTTAGTAAAATATACACCCTTAAAATAAGAAAATAAAAAAAGATAGTAAAATGTGCCTGTCAGACTGTGTTTAATAGTAAGATATCTTGAAATAGAAAGTACTGCACAGTACAAACGAGTTAATTTTGAATTTTGCCATCCCAAAGCCAAATCATTCCCAACCAAACTCTAATGCTTTCTTCAAACAATCTACATAAATGTTCATTTTTAAATATCGATCCAAAACGTTGTATTTTTTTTGGAATTAGTAATGATATATAAATAATTAACGATAAAAAATCTAATGTAAATTTTTCAAAACGGTTACGAATGGAAATATTAGTATGATGTGAATGGAAATTTGGATCGATATTTCGGCGCTACAAACCTGCTTTGTCACTTCCTCAGTCGTCGTTTCGGGAGTAGTTAAAACTGTTGTTGGCGTGGTCAAAGTTACAGTTGGCAACGGCGTTGTCGGCGCTGGAGTCGTCGTGGTTGTCGTTGACGTCGTCGATGTTGTCGTCGATGTCGTCGACAGAGTTGTCGGCTCCGTCTCGACGGGCGACGTGGGCGATGTGGGGGTTTCGGAGGAGGACACCGGTGGTAGTTCGTTTGATGCGCGTATTATTACGGTTTGCTGAAAGTGCCATGCGGACGCTCACACACGTGAAATGTATGTCGACGTGAAGACAATGTATACACCATGATATTATAAATTCAATTTTGATTACTAAGCAAAACTTTGTACAGAAAAATAACTATAAAATTTTAACATCTAAGATTTTTATTTCTGCTTCATATAAGACAATTGTATTTTTTGTAATTTAAATTAATAATAATATTTTGTTTTGTCTTCACGTAAACAGATTAGTGGATGTATATACAATTAAATGTACAGTGATTTTATGGGCGTCCTGCTAACTAAACCCTTGTTAAATATAATAAATCCACTCCCACACAAGAAGGACAGATTAGTGGTCAAACGTGAGTTAGAGGTAGTGATTTAAAAAATAAACGAACTATATGAATCTACACATACCAGTTCAGCTTCTGTAGAAGTCGTTACTTCTTCTGGGACTATGACTATTGGTGAATGATCGTCAAGGTTTCTGTTGACAGGAGCGGGTTCCTTCGAGAAATTAACACTACTCGCTTCGGAGGCAGTCTCCGAGTAAGGAGTGATTTTCACTTTGTGGTCCTGCAAAAGATATATATATATAAGTATGAAGCATTCACAAATATTACTAATAAAAAATATAAAAAATCGTAATCTAACATACATTCAATCCTCTAGCCTAGTAAAAATGCGATTAATATAATCCTATAAATACATAAACATACCTACATCTACAGAACGTAAACGATTGCTAATCTAGGTTCTATTCAAAAGTTCCGTGACTAAAACTATAAAACAACGGACGATAAAAACGTAGCTAGCTAAAAAATACGTGTTAAATTAAATACATAATAGATATAACGGCACAAAACATTCTCAAAAACCGTGCATCGATCGATCAAAGAAGACGAGACGAGCGGGCATGCCAGGACAAACCTCTGTCGTAAACGAGTTAGTCGCGAGGGTATCTTGATATTCCTCTGTGCTCGAAACCGTCGCCGGTGTAGTGGGAAGGTCGGAGGGGTACGGTTGGGTAGATGGGGGGGGTTAGTTTAAGTGTCGTAAGGTCTTGGGGCTCGGTTGGGGTGATAGGGGTCTCCGGCGAGTCGAACCCGTTCTGAAACGTGTCGGTGGTTGGTGGCGCGTACTCGGGCTGGCCGTGGTGGTGGCGGTGTGGGTGCGGGGAAGTGGGGGGGTCCACCTGCCGCCGCGCGACACTACGTTAGTACTGTCACACGTTGCGTGACCATATTTTGTGGGCCACCTGTTTCTCGCAATCACTTTAAATTTACAGTTAGATTGTATCATTTTAAAAACAAAGCAAATAAATTAATTATACGGTAAGTTACAGGTGGCCCACATAAATCGTATGCACTCCTTAGTAAGTATTGGAATGTAGAATTAACCACAGCGACTCAAGTTTCATTATGGGTCACTGTGATGAAACAACAAAGCGAACATTGTATGTGGTCGTTGAGGCTTAAGGATTTCAAAGCATATATATTTGATACTTGTATATATAGACCTTGTTTCAGAAATGTTGTAAGGGGAAAAATATTCACAAATTAAAATGTGATACAGCGCTTCAATTTTATTATTACTTCTACTTACTACACGAATATCATATGGGATAGATATGTTAATAAATTTTCATATTTCTTCCACTTCAAGTTCAAATTAAAATAATGCACACCAAAGTACATATACAGAATTATACAATCATATCGAAAAATAGATGGTTTTACAATTATTACAACAAGAACAAAATTAAACGCCAAACACCAACAACGAAGGAAGAGATGGCGTTGCAAACTATCCGAAACGTCGAGACGTACTTAAAACAATTTTCATATAAGTTTAACTTATAGATTATGCGTTTTAAACCGTTGAAATGTTTTATTGAAATGTGTACTACTCCTGTTAACTACATACAGTATTTACTGTGTGTGCGTTACATAATACACGTTGGGAATTTTAGTAGCATATTTTAATTGGTTTTATCATGGATTACCCTAATAATTTTGAAACAAGTTCCATTCTGTAAATAGTTTTTAATACCCAGCTTCAAAGTAAACCACATACAAAGCTCACGGATATAACACGTTTTATAGACCTCGATGCAAAGGGAAATGAATGACGATGCTTGAGGCGATCCGATGTTGCAACAAAAATAAAAATTATAGGAAAGAGGCAGCGTTTCTTGGATTACTCAAAGTTGGAAGTAAATAGACTGAATTGATAGTTAAATTTAGAATTTAGTTGCTTTTCTAAAAATAAAGTTCTTACAATTACATTCTACAAAAAAATCTTTGTAGGTACAATACGAGTCTACTAGCCTACTGTCTGCTAAGGTACTTTAGGCGCAAGAACTGTTTTACTAATTAACAACGAAATATAAATTCCTTTCGGCGTCTGACGATCATTGATAACTGCGTGTCAATTTTTTATCAATAGCTTGTTGTTGTTAAAATGTATATTTTGTATTAAAAAACAAACTTTAAATTTCCAATAACAAAAATCGAAAGTGATAGTGATGGTTTGGGTGTAATTTTATTACAATGAACGGAGTAAATAATTAATATTATTTATTTTATTAATTTACATTCAGTCTATGCTTCCACATATTGTAATGGAGACACTGCGAGCCCCCACATTTAAATAGCCACGTATAAAAAGCTCAGGAGATCGGATACATGTAAGTGAAACGGGCATATATGACGCTATCTCATTCAACATTCCATGCTGTGGTCCAATTTCTAATCACATTAAGTGTGGTATACATTCCATAATCATATTTGGTCTTTTTCATCATTTTTTGTATCACTGATTAAACGGATGATGTAATTAATGATTCTGACATGGTGTATGAATGATGATGACTTTAATGTACACACGTATTAAAGTTATTTTTACCCAAGTAATGTTAGATTTAAAATTCACACAGTGTTCTGGCCCTATTTTGATTAAACTCACGGCATAATAAATAAAAGCGAAAATATTTACTCACCAAGTCAGGTACGGGTCCCAAATCAATGGGCGAGTCGAAGTCGTCATCATCATCGTCATAACCGCTGTAATCAGCTGGATCTTCTTCACCATCATAGTTATCGTAGTCACCAGAGCCATCCAGTGGCGACTAAATTAAAGCAAATATTGTTATAACAGAGAATAAAGAGTATATCGGCGTTCAAAAACGTATTTTTTAATTCATCATTCATTATTTCATATTTCTGGTCTTTTGAGCCGGATATATTACAGAAGATATTAATTTACATCAAAAATTTTATACCTGTCGTTTAAGTCTGGAATTTGGTTTAACAGCTAATAGTCTCCAACCGAGAACTGGAAGCTGAAGCAATTGGTGCAAAGTGCCGTCTCTGGACTGTTCTCGTAGACCAGCAACGAGAACTTTATGTCTACTCCAAAGTTTTTCTCCACAACCAACCTGAAATCAATTGAAAGAAAGATTAAATTCATTTATCTTAGTACTAATCACTCATTGTGTTGTTATATAAAAATCTTACGTTTAAGTAAATGGCAGTGGTCGCTTCACTATGCCTACGCTTCGTTGAGCCCGGACCGCTTAGAATCACTGAATGCCCGTGAGTATATTCCGTTTTGTGCGGCTCCATCCAAAATTCATCCTGAAAGGTCAAATATTTATTTCAATATAAATTCAAAGAGAAATGCATTTAATAACAGATAAGAACATACGTAAGTAGCAGTAAATATTATAGAGACATAAGAAATCATCGTTAATGTATTCCATGTAATAAATTCAAGTGATCGCATTTTTCGATCGTATTTTTTAAAGGCTAACGCATTACGCATATATAAGCACGCAAACACGAACGGGCTGTTATAAATATGTCACCGTCACTCATTGTATGTCTGAGAGGGAAAGAGTGATTCGGTCGTTAAGATATAATTTTTATAAATCGAATCACGGAATGTACGTTACCCAACGAAATTGCCAACTCCTAATGGGATTACGACGTGGCGTTCAGACAAATTATATGGATAGCGACTGTATATTAAATTAATTAATACTCCATGGGGCTATATTTATTAAATACTAGCTGTACCAGCGACCTTGTCCGCCTAGAATAGTGGATATGGGAGTCAAAATATGTTCTTGCAAACCTACTCTTCGTCGTTATAAATTATATCAATGACATGGTTCGCACCCCGTCATTCAAGGTAATCTTAAAATATGGACATATAATGTCGCGAACATTTTCTTAGATTATTTAAAGAGAAATCATTTTTTAATATGTACATAATTTTTGGAAATCTTAATCTGTTTAGGCAGTGCACGCGGGAACTGTCAAAAAACAAACTTAGTTTTAGAACGGACATTTTACACGAATAAAGGAAGCTTAAATTTTTTGATTACAGTTGAATAAGCTAATTGCTTGCATACTGAGAGCATGCTTACAACCTTTTGATAGTCAAATCAAATAATTATTGTAGCTTCTCTCCAGAAGCTCTTAACGGAACCAATTAAAGTCGATTGGAGCATATCGGCTCGATGTTGCAATAACTTATCAATGAGCTTTGAGTCTTACGAGTGGTAAGTGCCGCCTCTTCAACATTATATAACAGTATTGTGAATAGTTAATTAAATACCGAAACGAAACGATGTATATATAGGTGAATCTATGTTTTATGCAGGGATTATTTGTTCCTTGTCCTTATTTCGCATTACGACAAAAGAAGTAGAATTTTATAATAACTTGACAGTAGGTACATAAACGCGAAGTATATTAGTTAAACTTATTAGCAAATTATTTTTAACGACGCCCCGACGTTACGGTCAAATACCAACTTCGACGGAACAGACGGCGCTAGCGTAGCAGTTTTTAACTTTGACGTCAGAGACATCCTCCATCTTTAGTCTCCCAGTGACCACGTCTGCTGCAAAGCATCCGAAGCCTCGGGCCGTAGTAAAAAATAATTTTCAAAAAAGTTTAACTAATATACATCGCGTTATGAACTGTTGAAGTGTTTCATTTAAATTCTTATATTTATTAATTATAAGATATATAACAAATGAGATACAGTTATGTTGGATCTTACCCCATCTAACGCCATAAAACTGGCGAGTTCCATGAGTGCGCGTATCCTGTGCCGAGGCAGTATTTTTTGGAAGGCAGCATCTATGAGTATCACTAGAACCAGTCTGTTTTCGTTGTGTATACAAGTGCCGTATCGCGACTGCGGCTTTTCGTCGGCTTTCTTTACCTGCAATTCACAAATGGTACAAAATTACCCTATGACAAGAAGCACGAGTAATTGGATTAAGTGGTGGTAGCTACTAGAATACCCCAGGTATATAATATATCAACAAGATATTCGGAAATCCACAGATTGGAACCGATACGCAATTGAACTTCACGACTTTTACATCCAAATCATAAATTTCGATATCGCTACCACCCATTTTTCGAAACATGTTGGAGACATTATAAATTGATTAGTAAACATATTGGATGGGCAGGAATCGAACCCACTAAACTTTGTTTATTAACAATACTATCAGACCAACGAGCTTGTCAAAGAAGTCGTTGTTTTTATAGACACGAAATAGCGATGTAACTGCTATTATTAGTACATTCATTTTAAAAGTGAATGAAAAGTTAAAAGACTATTTCAATTAAATAAGATTTTATGTCGTAATACCGAGATCTTCAGTCTTCGTCGTTTAAGAAATGCTATTTTATATATTTCGCAGAATCTTGGCGGAAACTAATTAAGAAAAACTCGCTTTCATTCATGTTAGGATTTACAGTGAAGAACTTTGTAGATTTTTTCTTATCTCGAGCTATATTTTTTTAAGGTGATTCTATGGTACAGTGCTCTTTGAAGAAGTGCGTGCTGAAGTTAGCGCGGATGGTTGCGCAGAACGAAAAAAGCAGGCATCAGTGGAGACAACCGGGGTGCGCGGGTGCAGGGTGAATCGACTTTTATATACTTATAATTGATAGTATCATGCGCAAGATGGCGGTTCCGCTAACTTCAGCCCGGCCAAAAAGAGAGAACTGTACTTACTTCGATAGTGAACGTGTCGGTAGCCGTCAAGCCATGTGTCCGTCCGTGCGCCGTGACTGAAAAGGTGTGCGTTCCGAGGTCCTGTTTCTGTGGCACTCCGCTGATCAGGCCATGTTTTGTGTCCACGGCCAGCCAGCTAGGCAGCCGACGATCGCCTTCACTTCGAACCTTTATTGACAATAAGTAATTGTAAATTTCGGCCACCGAGTGTGGATAAGTCAAATTTAATAAATATGTAATATGTCATTTTTTTTAGGATGGCAAATAAACGATGTTTTCTTACTTTATTTTTTTAATTTACATTGCAAGATAATTACGAGGACTAATATGATTCAGCAAGAGATAGTTAAAAAAAAGTTATGTTACATATATTTATCAAGACAGGTTTCGTCCTGCGTTTAGACCATCAGCGTTGTATCGCTATAAGTTGCGACATTTTATTGTAAACTGCTCAACGATGCGATTAATACAACAATAATAACTTGGTTAATTACTACAATGAATTACAAGATCGAAGGCTTAATTTTCCTGTTGAATATATTTCATACCAAACTAAACTATATAATCAAAGTGTAAAAAACATAAATAAGTTAAAGCAATTTCAAAGGACCGAATAGTTGAAATCTTATTTATATAAGCTACAAATCTCTCTATTTGCCTACATTCACGAGAGTAGAGAATAAACATATGCCGTAATGCGTACCTTATATGCTAAAACCTCTCCCGAAAACGCTTCTTTCGGGATTTCCATCCGGAATAGGTGTCCCACATAGGCCGATGTGTCAGGAACGCCCCACAATCGTCTTAGGCCATTTTTTGCTATCTCAGAATGGTTCGCTGTCAGCTCAACCTACATCAAATAAAATAAATAAGTTTTGACGTTGGTACGTTTATGTGATAAAAATCTTAAAGTAGAAGCTGGCTACAAACAACGTGGCGCATGGAGTGGACACAATTTTATGTCCAATGTGTTATGTGTTAATCGCATTACGATTTTTTTATCTATTTTATATGATAGAGGAGGACGGACAGCCTCGGGTTCACTTGATGATAGGTGAAATATCTCAGCCATATAGCATGAGCTGTCTTTCTGACCCTAGGCTTTGGATATTACGAAATCCACAGACTAAAACCGAAGCGCGACTAAACTTCGCGGCTTTTTCATTTGTGCACGGTGATTCGTGACCCGGACGGAATTTATATATTCCTACCACCCATTTACTATCCAGATTTCCAGACGAAGTCCAACATGTTTCAGAGAAAAATACACATTTATAAGGAACATATTGGACCCGGTGAGAATCGAACTCACAGCTCGTTGAGTATTAGCCATTAAATCGACGAGCCCGTCTAAATATCGTTGATAGGACTTCCACGCTCTGCCCAGCCGAAACAGAGGCAGCATATTCGCGTATTGCCTTATAAAGACTTTGACCATTGAGCCACGGAGGCTGTCTCAAACAACATTTATCTTCAGCCTTTTAAATATTACTTAATTTTGTGTCCAGTTGATGTTTAAAGAAATACATAAATCATTTGAGACCTCCCATTGGGACACAACTTCCCAGATTACGCGGCTTATGTGGGACAAGGTTTGACATGTCACTAATGACCCAAGGGTACCCGAGACAATTTACATAGGTAATTAACTTAACACAAACATTAACTGAATAGAAATGATAATTGTTTTATTAGTGCATTATTAAATTAGATAAAGTTTATTTGCAAATGAGTTTCGATCAGCTAACTAATGTGTTCTAAATCTTCTGTTTGAATTCTTCGAAGATTAAAGTTATGAATGACTTTAAACGACCTTTTCTTTACATTTATGACTCGATTTAAATGCATGTATGTTTTGTGTTATTGACTTATTTTATTTCACGCGCGAAATATATCGGTTAACTTATTTTTAATTGTTACCACGGCTGCTACAAAGCCAGCATTTCAATATTAACCTTCCTAACTTTTCTATATATATTTAACTAAAAAAGTTTTGAACGGTTGAAAACCCGAAATAATATAGGTTAATTATTTTAAACCTAATTTAACACTGCTGATCGACGTATTTCTTCGTTGCCATAGCTGCTGCAAGGCAATTTAACTAAAATATTTCGGGTTTTTAAACCGTTAAAACTTTGATTTAAATTTATATGAAAAAGGAAGTTTTAATAATATGAAATAAAATCAATAACACAGACACTCGGTTAGGTAGTTAGCATCCAGCCTAATGCGATTCGAAATTTAAAAAACACAATTGTGACTGTACCTGAAACTCTTCGTTGTTATCAAAGGCGAAGTCATCGTCGTGCCGGCTGAGCGCCAACGGGCAGATCAGCAACACCGCACAGGCCACGTACCTCGTGTACCCCATCTCGACCGTCTGTGTGCGACTTCCCCGGCCGGGTCGCTTTCATAAACTCATCGCGATCTGTTGACAAACGGCTACAATCAACGGCTGTTTAGTAAACACGGTGGCAGGAAACAATGAAACATTGTTTACGAGGCAAGATGTTCTATCGATGCGTAGTTTTTTCATAGTAAACATTCGACGGTACGAGAGAAACGTCTCAAACACTACCATAAAAACGGTTCTCGTAAGATAAATAAAACAGTTTTTAGATTATGTGAAGAAGAAAATTCTGTTATATATATTTTTTGGGGTTTTTAAGCCGTCACCGCAGCGCAATCAACGAATCCCTTAAAGAAGAATAATTTTCCTCGTTTTTTTAACATTTCCCACTGTTTCTTCCTATCATCTATCCTATTGGTCGATAAATAGTCTAATGAACACAAAAAATACTTTTTGAGTCTTATATCGCGCTAATATTTGAAACTACTGCTTGGAATTTACATTTATCAAGAGGTTTAGAGCTATAAAACATTCGTCTGCGACCAATAAGAGCGAAGAAACAGTGGGAAATGTGAAAAAAAATTAAGAAAATTATTTATCTTTGACGGCTTTCGTTGCGTAGGCTGCAAATACGGAAAGATACTTACGGCAAAAGAAAGTTGACCAGAGGTCAGCTAGTTATATTTGAAAAAGTAAGTCTTATCACTATATTGCCAATATCATGGATTCTAATCTAAATACGTGATTGAAAACAATTTATTACCTTCATAACAATAGTTGTAACTAGGCTAGCGATCACGTTTTTTGCAATCTGTAGTTATCGCTTTGTCTACACTCTGTAGATAACGCATTGTTTAAAAAAACGAGATAAAAGCGAGCTGGACACGCCTATGGTGGGTTCCGTATCGTTAAAACAAAACAGCAACCCGGTCCTGGCAAGTTAATCTTAAAAGATTGATATATTATATACTGCCACGGATATTTATAGAGTGTGCGTGCGTGGAGTAACCCTTTACATACATTGATTGAAAAGATATGAATTTTCCCCGATTTTATTATTTTTACTGTTTCTTCGCTCCCGTTAGTCGCAGCGTGATGTTATTTAGTCTAAAGCCTTCCTCGAAAAATGGCCCAATACAAAAAAATAATCGAACCATTAGTATAAAAAACCAAAAAATAATAGTACCTGAGATTAGCACGTCCAAACAAACTCTTCAGCTTTATAATATTAGTATAGATTTACGTAATGCATAAGGTAGCTTCGGCCAAGGACATAATTAAGACATTACCCATTCCCCGGTGGTGTAAACAAGGGATCCTTTGAATATTGCTTACAAATGACTAATAAATAAAGCTAAGAGCCGGGTGGAGTGAAGCTCGCGAACGGAAATGACTGATACTGTTACACAGTCAAAGGCGCGTGCTGGCGCATAATTATACGAAAATAGACGGTTCTCAATGGCCGCCTTCCTTTAACACGTTTCGTACGGTAAGCATTAATACTGTTTTTAGTTCCAAATTTAGGTCCAGTTAAATCAGGTCCAACATTCTAATCAATTTATAATTGTTCTGAAAGAAGTTGGACTTCGTGTGGAATAATTAAGTGGGTTCAGCCTGTGGATTTGCAAATATCCAAAGCCAAATAGATCACATCTTCGTGCATCAAGATGTTTTATGGCCGGGGTTTTTCACCTTCCATCAAGTAAACCTTGCCAGCCAGTATTATCTATTATCTATACTAATATATAAAGCTGAAAAGGTTATTTGATTGTTTGTTTAAACGCGCAGGAACTACAGGTTCTATTCGAACCTGTAGTTCCTGAAGTCCTGTATTTTTGTGTTGGTAAGAGCATTTATCGAGAAAAAGTATAAGCTATAAAACATCGTCCTGTGAATAATACAAGCAAAGATACAGCGAGAAATGTGAAAAAAAAATTGGGAAAATTATTCATCATTATGGCTTTCCGAGACGTATGCTGCAAAAACGGTTTACATACCCAAAAAAAATATGTATGAGAGATTGATTCCTCTTTAAATCATCTAAAAAAACTCTGCGACGCTATATGTCTATCTATATTAAGATTAACTTGCAAGAACGACGGGAAGAGACGCGACTGATGTCGTGGGTAACAGCTTAGGTTTATAAAGATAAAGGGGTTTGCAAAAACGAATTTGGATGCCCGAAATAAATATTCTTAGGGGACGAAGTTGTTAATTAGTACATGAAATAAGTGTTATATATGATATGATCACACGATAGAAGAAATAATACACCAGCTACATAACTATTTCAAATACAGACATGTCTTTCTCACTTATAATCTTTTCGTCATGCAGATAATTATCTCACTTGAGGTCTGGCAACGATCGAGCGTGTTTTTTCTATATTATTCATTTTCCTGTTAATTAAAATAAAAATCATTTAAAAATGCAATCGACAGAACGTAAATACGCCAATTTTCCAAAACGACAACCAAGCAGCTCGAAGATCAAAGAAGAAAAAAATAATTTCAAAAAAAAAAAATCAATAATTTATACTGATAATAACTTAAATTATGCTTAAATACTTTCCAATTGTAATTAAACCACGCCCTATCGTCTATCATGACAACCAAGCGATTGAATAAAACGCTCGTAATTGATTGAATTATGATAGTAATACCGAAAATGTTTAAAGAAATAGCAGTAATACTTTTCAGTAATTGTTACAAGCATTTCAATTAAAGTAATTCGAATTCAATTAAGTAAGATAGCTAATACAAGAATTACTTAATTAACATTACTGCATCGGGTGTTATCTTCAATTAATTAAACGACGCTTCGGCGAATTGAATTTTTCATTTGTTTTCTAATAATGATTACATACGTAATCAATTACAATGAAAAAATACAACCGAATGGAAAATAGCAAAACCCCGTTACGTTACGGAAGTCGCAGACATATTTTTGTGTTCGTTGTAATTTTTTTTTCTACTATAAAAGGAAGTATTTAATAAACCTAAGAAATACCATGTTTTGGATAGCATTTTTATCGGTATAAAACGCGAAAAACGATGATTATACACGTGACCACGTTTGCTTAAAACAGTCGGTATGACTTCTCCAATTTAAAATAAAAAACTGTTACGGTTTAAAAACTTTAGTTAAACTTGTTTGAAAATTATTACTACGGCTCGACGCTTCAGATGCTTTGCAGCGGCTGTGGTCACGGGAAGACTGTTTAACTAATATATATCGCGTTTTGAACCGTCAGTGTTTTATTGAGATGTGTATACTTACATACTTGCATTAACTACAGATACTAGACAGTGCAACTGCTCGAGGTTAAAAGGTGTTATCGTTTCGACGTCTTAAACAGCACAAAACTCTTCATATAAGATTGTATATGAAAAATGTTGGTGTAGGATATTTGCCTAACCTATATATTTTGCCTCAATCTACAATTCGGCTGATTCGACAGAAAAACGGTCAGACAGACATCTGTTCGCCATTCATTGTTAGATGTAACAACACTGCCATTCTCTGTAATATTCAATAAATGACAGCAGTCGAAATACTTGTACTAACACTTAATCGGTTAATCCGTGATATAACAAGCTACAAGCTGAACAGCAGCTTGTGTAAGCAGTAAACAGCTGTTAAATAACGTTATGATTGGTAATTGTAAGCAAACTCCAGTTTACACTTCGTTGCGAAGCCTGTTACGAAATTAATTAAAACATTGAAGTCGAGACGCAAAATTTAAGGATCATTAAAATATTGGTATCGATGAGTGGGGGAACTAATTGATGGTTGATTTCATCATCCAAAATTATCCAGACTAATATTATTAAGCCGAAGAGTTTGTTTGTTGAACGCGATAATCCCAGAACTTTCTGCATCGAAATTAAAAAATAATTTGTTGGATGAATATCTATAAAAGATTGATTCCTTTTTAAATTATCAAAAAAAATGTCCGCGACAGTGTATATCTCTTTTTGGATTAACTTGCCCTTTGGCAACGCATAGCAAATAAATAGTAGTCTTTACAAATGTACGTTGAGAGAATAATCCCTTCTAACGCGTTTTAACATTATATATGTAAATAAGCTCTTAATACACATTTCAGCTGTGAATCAGCTAAGCAACCAGTACACCTTATGTAAGCCTTGTAAATCAGCGTCACGTTTGCAGTGGTCTGAAACCCATAAAGTTATCGTTTTACTATTATCAGGTACATTATCTGTACAGAAGCTTTTTATCGTATGTTAACTGCATTGTCATCGGTCACGCGTCGGCGTATTTGAACGTTACGAGATTAAAATAAAACACTAACGGTTTAAAACGCGAAACTATTCGTTAAACTTAAATATTCTGATAGAGAAAACCGATACTAATAATGAGACATTAAAAGATATTTTCATAGAACACTTTTAACGCTATATCGTATTAATTAAGTTAATTTATTTAAACTACGTACCGAAATTTCGTATGCTGGCAGCAATCGTGGTCACGGAGGTCACGATACTGAACAAATAATGTTCCTACGACCTAATACGTTTTTTAAAAGCGAGTTTTTCACACGCCTCTTTCGTAGCTTCGGTTTTCCTCATTAAGTGTCAAAGTTAATGGAAATTACAAATATATTTAGGCGCTGGTATTCGTAAAATCGTCCCTCAATATAACAACCCCATACAGAGGGGTGAGTTAGAGGGTTAGCACAATAGATCTCTTCCCTCGGAGAAATCTCAAAGTTACCCCGAAGCCTTACAGAGTTCAACATTTTAGTGTAAGCCACTAGCTAAGCAAGGGAGCAGGGGGTTGTTCTTTGTCGAAATAACATACGAACAAATGGGTATTTTGTATAGGAAATATATTCGCCATTTCGCGTCTCGTGTAAATAGAATGTTAAGAAAAGAGGTTTTATAACTATGTACACAGCTTTGTTACTTGTTTCAAAAAGCTTACAAGAGGTTTTAAGGGCTATACTTATATTATATATACAAATATTATAAAGCTCAAAAGATTTTGTTTAAACTAGC